CGGAAGGATCGCGGAAGGGCTTCGCGGAAGCGGTAGTTTTTTTAATGAAATTATATAAGAACAAAAAAAACACCGCTCAGGTGGTTTAATTCCCAACATGGAATACCGTCCGTGTGTGACAGCATTGGTGCCAACATGCGCCCTTGCCCGCGAGCCCTCAGAGCATCCATGCCGAAGCGAACTGACGTACATCTCTGATGGCGTGTACCCCTTTCCTCTATATTGGACCCCGCCACCCCCTAACATTAAATTTCCCAGTGCGCTCTTTAATGGGTGGGGAGGCTTAATTTCAAGGGGAGGGGATCATGCTAGTATGCACCAACCCTCCAAAACTGCAACATCATCCGTCCACAACAGCATCCGCGCAGCGGTGCATCTATGCATCCATGCCCACACCAGCATCCATGAAGCATCTGTTTACCAGTGCATCCATGACTCAGCGACAATGACATCGATTAATAAGACTGTCAAAGTAAACGTGCCCCTGCCCAACCTCAGCAACATCCGTCCCCGAGATCATCAGCTCACTCTCGAGCATCCGTGAGTAACATCAGCCCCCGGGAAGAGCATCTGCTAACTACTCAAAACATGAGGACGTCCTTCCCCAAGAGCATGTGCTCACCAGAGCACATGCTCCTGGACACCAAGAGTGTCAGTCGGCAACCGACCCCCTCAATCCCCTATGTGGCACCCCAAGCCTGGGAGGCTTGCTGCGTGGCCCCGTGCCAGCGTTCCTGCCAGAAGCAGTCGCAATTACAGAACCCTGCAGTTCCCGCCGTGTTGTCGAAGTATGCGGAGGTAATGGGGGAGTACGAGGACTTGTTTGTGGTTGATGCTGTTCTCATCCTGTAGGGATTGCACTTGCCCCGCTCTACTCCCCTATCCTGCCTTGGAGGAGCTGTTTTCCCACATCTCGCACAGTTTCATGTATGCCCAGCGGGGAGGAGGTCATGAGAAGGTCCTCAGCGCAAAGAAGCTTCTTGCACCAGCCACTGGCATGTTCAGGCAGGAGGAGTTCTGGTATTTTGAAGGTGAGAACTTGGCCAACCTGGAGAGTGACGGCTTCCGGCTGTCGCGCTCGTCCGGCCACGGCCGCTTGTTCATGCTCCTTCCGGCTGGGGCTACGGTGCCAAGTCCCCAGATCAACGACGTCCCATTGACATCCCCATATGGGACTGTCTATGGTGACCAACTTGATGTGCCTCTAATGTGGGACTTCAAGCTTTCAAGTCAGACTCTTACTAAGAGTGACAGGATTGAACCATCCGGTCCATTTGCAGGTTACGTAACCTCCCCTTGCCTGGTCGAGCAGCCAGCTCAAGCACAGTTGCATCACGGAGGGTGCCGGCTACCTGAAATGCAAAGACAAAGCGCTCACTGTGAAGTTTCCCTCTGGGGCGACAAAGGTGGACGTCACCTTCTTCATGCGGGCACGCTGTCTGGGCTCCATAGATTGTTCCGCCAGGGCGAACGACCCCTATGATGAGCATGGCGAACTCAGAGTAAGATATCAAGACCAGATGAGCAATTACTACCCGTCCTCAGGAACCAAAGTTTCCTGGGGAAACGAGTATTTCAGGCTGGACGATGCTTACTGTCCGTATGTCTCCTACGAGGCCGACATTGATCATGATTGTGATCACATCGATGATCCGGCCAGATTCAACATCTTCACGGCCACCTTTGGAGAGTATGGAAGGCAAAATGTAGTTCGTGCAGGGGCAGCTAGTGATTGATGCAGCACAAAATGAGATCCACATTTGGGGCTTGACCGTGTCAGCGAATTCGCCCGTCATCCGAGTCGCTGACGTCCACCACCCGAATCAGTTGTCTGCTGAGGGTAAGTACTTCAACTTCAATGCCGACGACCTTTGGATCCGGGAAGATCACATTCAGCATGGTGAGATTGGTCAGGAGATGTTCTCTGCACGTGTCCAGCAGTGCCAATTCGACGAGGCCGGGGATCCGTTGGAGACCTTCGAGGACTTCAGATCTACGGAGCCAACCATGCTGTCAAGCACAAGTGGACCGCCCACGGCAAACAGTTTTGGCATGAAGATGATAACCAGTTCCGTAGAGGGGACTTGCTCCTTATGGACCCTTCGTTGAAGTGCCCTGCCTGCAAAGACAACTTGGGAGTGCGGGCCTGGAACCTTCCCTGCGGCCAACTCTCCCATGCCATCCATGTCAAGGACACCCAGCATGTTTCAGGCAATGTGGACATGCATTTCTGGTTCGACAACATGCCCGCGGACCTCTTCGGCTATCAGGGTGAGAGCGAAATTGCAGGCACCGTGCGGCAATGCCGCTACAATCCGACCACTGGTGGCCCAATCAACGGGCCGTTCCACAATGCCCGTGTCGAGGTACGGGTCTGGACACAAGTGCCGCACGGACGCCGGGAGCATAGTCCAGCCCAACACCAATTCCTTGTTGATGACTTTCTCCTCACCGACCCCAGCCTGATGTGCCCCAGGTGCAGATGGATCTTGAACTCGCTCAGAGTGCTCCATAATCGGCACGATGGTTATGGTGGCTACCAGAAGGGCATTATCTTCAGCTTTGACTCCGGCATCGCCATTCCTCATACGGGACATGGTACGGGTGAGGCTGTGCCGCTTCAAGAACAAGGCACACCCCTTTCACAACACCCCGAGGTGGGTAAAGATATGGAACGGACACGCAGCCCCGACCCAACGTGGACCTGGAAACCGTCATGGCATGAATCTCTATGGAGCTGGCGAAGGCCTGGAGGACCACGTGGAGTGCCCAGAGTCGGAGGCCCAGCTTAGCTGGGAAGCCCCATGTCCCTGAGGCCAGTTGCGGAGCTATGCAAAGCTAAGCGCTAGTCGGAGCTCTGCTTGAGAGCTTTCGACCAGGCCTGTTTTAGATTGTTATGACCTTTTATGGTTGGTTTAGCTAGGATCCTGGGATGGGAGCGCCCTGCACAACAGGGAACCCGACCCAGTTGCTGGATGCCACCGCGGCATCCCGGGCCCGGACGCTGTCCTCAGTCTTTTGGGGTGTAGGGTTTAGGAAGCAACAGCTTTTCCTCGGCTTGAACACTTGGCGAAGGAGAGCGTCTGGGTCTACGTGGTCGAATCCATTTACGTAGTTCTATCGGCTGGACACGCGCCGCACACTTTTACAGGTCCCCGGTTTCTAACATCTCCACTCCGGAAAGTGCTGTGGAGGTCTTTCACGGGGACTTGGCAGCTGTCCATAAAACAGCCGTGGATGTTCTCATTTCTTCTGACTTGCTGCCAGCTGCCTCAGGGCATGGCCGAGTTGTTTCATAACGATATCTCGCCTTTGTTGCAAAGTCTTCTGTATGCTGCACAGCTCAAGTCATGCTGGCCCAAGTTTGCTATATTGTGGCATCTTGCAGTACTTGAATAAGCTATGCCATACCATACACAATCCAAGACTATGCGCTGTCGCAGTGTGCTGCTGTATGCTACGAGTGCATCATAATGACGCATGTGTACATCTGTTAGGAGCGAGCTTGACTTGATGTATGTTGGCTTACACCAGCATGACATGTCGAATCTCTGCAGCCCAACTTGCACCTTGTAATTACATACAAGCAAACCCTGCGCAGAGCGTTCTGCATGGGGTGGCCATGTAGCCTTAGCGATGCCCAAGCGAAAGCGGGCAGGGAAGGTGACTGAGCCAAAGAAGACCCGAACCCAGCTGAACAATGCCAGGACAGCTTTCATGGAGCCCAGGGTTGGGCATTGCGGGCTTTTGAAATGGTTGGGCTTTGGGATTTGGAGTTTCTGGGCTCCGGGAAAGGGACTTGCATCGGAGGGTCAGAATTGTGGTTGGCAAGGAAGCGGGCGGCAAAGAAGCGTGCGAAGCAAGAAGCCAAGCTCGTGGATCCTTCCTTGGCTGAGGGCTCAGGGAAGCCAGACTTGTGTTCTGCGATGTTGCAGAGGATCTTGATGAAAACAGCCCCAACAAATTGATGTGTTTGTCTTTGGGGAGGTCTACATCCAGAATCCCCTGGGTGCCCCGACAGTGCGTCGGGCCAAGAGTTGGTTCGCACACGTTGGCGCGAAGCTTCCTCTGCGACTCGGGCCTCTGGAAGGTCCTGGCCAAGCTGTTAAGCATGTTGGCCAGAATTTTCTGAAGCCTCCCTGGTGGATTTGCTGTTTCGATTCTGGGAGGCTGGCGGACATCTGCCAAGCTTGCAGTGCGTGCAAGCACTTCGGGGGTTCGCATCGGCCTCTTCGTGCCAAAAACGCACGATGTGGTGCGGATTCACGGCTGCGCCGCCCATCATGCCTCCATCAATGCAGCTCTGGAGGCCTTGCTATGATGGCCTGAAAGGATTTGAAGCTTTGTTGCTGGATTCCTTGGGTGCCCGTGCAAGGCCATCAGCACTGCATGCGCCGCTGCAAAGATCCATGGCTATGATGAAGCCAGCGGCAAAGGCCTTGATACATGTCCAGCGTGAAATCTCCGAACAAGACTTGCTGCCCCTCCTGTCACCACTGCTGCATCCATGCTTGCTCTTACATGTTCCCCTCTCCAAAGGTGTTTGTTGGTGCTTGATGGTTGTTGCATTGAAGTTTGTCAGTGCGTTATGCTTGTTGCATTGCTCATTGCCAGGACTGTGATGATGCTTTGTGCGGAACGCATGTTGGGCTAATCCGTACCTGTGGATTTTGCAAGGCGACCTTCGCTACGTGAAGCTGGAGGTGCAGCGTTCCACTGGATTGGTGCAGGTCACCCTGGTGTGGAATGCAAGCTCTGAAGAGCAGGCACCATTGAGAAGGGTTTGGGAAGAGCTGTAGCTGGTGATTGGATGTGCTTGTCTCTGCGTCCAAACAAGTTTCCTCCAAACCCAGTAGCTTCAAGAATTACGAGAAAGGCCTGGGCTGGCAGATGTCTTGCGGAGGCGGGCCGGCCGCTTCGCAAATTGGTGTCAGCTCTGACGGAGCAGGAGATGCGCCAATCCCAGTCTTGGCTTTGCACCGTAAACTTGGAGATCAATCCAACCGGTTTGGTCATGGGTGTTGTTTTGTCGCCTTTGTAACAGCTAGGACCGATCTAGAGAGCAGGCCATTGGGTTGCCAAAGACCAGCAACTTAAAGCCGACACCGGAGATCCTTCTTGTTTTTTTTGAGGTACATGTGGTGTAGACCCCAATGAGCTGAAGATCGGAGTTTGCATGCCTAGCTCACTTCTGGGAACTACTGAGGCTCTTGACACCCTGCAGTGGAACCCTTTCAACCTTTAGCTTCACCCCTGAATGTGAAGACTCGGAGTAGGGAACGGAGAAATGGATCTACAGTGGCTATCTAGTAGCCTCCGCTTTTCCTTCCAGTTGCCCGTTCCTTAGAACTAGTAAGTAAAGCCATCAGCAGGCCTTGCCCCTTATCCGCTAGGTGGCATTCCATTTGGGCCAACTTCAACGCGGCTGATAAGCATACCTCCCGAATTCTGGCCTTCGAGAAGGAGGCTGCCTGGAGGGAAGGCCTTGCAGTTGTGGAGCTGGGCTCAAGGCCTTAGGAGTTCAGAGGGCCTTTGTCCTTGGACCCTGCTGCAAGACTCCCCTTCACCAAGAAGCGGATTCGTAAATCCCTCATCTCAGCGGATTGGACACCTGTCCTTGAAGAAGTTGAGGGTCCTAGAGGAGAACTCTACATTTGGGACCCTTCAAGAGTCCGGAATTTTTGAAAACCAATTGAACGTAAGTGTGGACGTCTTGTCACAGGCTTGGGTCCAACTCTCCGGTGGAAAGCGCTGGCTCCGGGAAGTGATGTCCAGGACTACGGCGGTGTGCATTCGGTTTCTGTTTTTCATTGGTTGAGACACACTCCTGCATAGTCTTAGAATATTAGATTGCCATAAATCCCAAGCCATTTTCGTATCATCCATAATACTTACGTCATACTGTCTAGCAACTTCCCATTTCCGTGTCCGTTGATTTTTGAAGAGCTTCTCCTTTGGCGAGCCTAGGGCACTTCTATGCCCAGGATTGCTTGGGAGCACGCAGGATCATTGCTGGCCCCACACTGGATGCAGATGATCGTTTCATCAGACGCGATGCGTACACTATCAGAAAGAGAATGAGAGTTGGGTTCTTATCCCTGGCCGATCATACTTGGACCCCAGGGTCTGAGTAAGATGAGCAAAAGACTTCAGGAACAGCAAAAGGCTCAACGTAGCCACGGCTGTTGCCGGGACATTGATGCCAAACACGTTCGTGGCATGTCATGTCAGCATTCTGACAGGAGTGCAGCTCCTTATCACTGCGAGTTGTGCTTCCCGCCCTTCGTCTTCCGCTGCTCGGATGTGGAAGCATTGAGCCGCCACATGCGACATCATGTGGCCGTGGTTGTTCATGGTTGAGATGAACGAGGGTTGGATCCTTGCCTCATCATTCAGCCTGAACCGTCTAACAGTCGGAATGGGAGTCTGCACAGGTAGGGCCCAGAATTCCAACCTCAATAGGAGCTGACGTGGCGAGCTGTGGCTTGCAACTTAGGCCAGGCCAACCTTTGTGCCTTCGAGCGGATTGTGGCTGCTGTCCGCCGCTTCGTGCCTTCTGGAAGTGCAGTGGTAGAAGCTCGGACAGTTCCAAGCCAGGGCAGCTTTGAGAGAGTTTTTGCGAGCGTTGTGCTGGCATAAGGCGGGCTAGAATGAGCGTGCTCAGGAGCTGTATGGCGGAGTGGGGACGATAGGCACCGAGCCCAGAACAAAGGAGTCATGTGAGCATTCCCTGAACTTAGCGATCTCAACCAGGAAACCTGCTGACTTCTAGCCGTTACCACTTGCCTTTCTCAGCTGCTGAGGTCTTCACTTGGCAGATACTGTTGGACGACCTGGCATGGCAAGATCTGGCTAGCAGAGTCATGCTAGGAAAGTCTTAATCTCAGGCAATAACAGTAGTAGCAAGAAGAATAACAATATGAATATTATGTTGTAGTATTAATAGTAGTAGTAGTAATAATAATAATGACCCAGACTGGGGATCTCTGCTTTGCGCGAGAGATTGCGACTTCTCGTCAGATATTTGGTGAAAGGAACTCCGGGGACGCTGTGGTCTAGTCATTTTGTCTGAGCATGTGGATGTTTAGTTGCCATAATATGGGTATAACATAGGGTTTAAGATACCATAATATTGGTGTAATATAGGGTTAAGTTACCATCAATAAGGGTTAAGGTTTTTGAAGTTGTCCTTACACCGAGCCTGAACTTGCCTTGCCAGGCTCGCTAGTGTGCAGCGACGAGAATCCGTTCAACCGAGCATGCTTCCGACGCAGCTGTTGGCCCAGCATACTATTAGGGTTTAGGGTTTAGGGTTCAGGGTCCAGGGTTTTGCATTCCTTTCTTTTTTGTTCCATTTGTAGTATGCCATACTTTACGTTAGTGTGGCTTGCTTGTGCCTGAATTGGCATAGATCAGGATTAATCCGGGCCTGTGGCTGACACCACTGCAGAGAGCAATAATTGAGCTAAGGTGTGAAGGGCCTACCACCGGAGTTGCAGCAACTTGGAAGCATTTGGCAATCACTGAGACTGGTTTGGTCTGCCATAGTTTCCTTGCATTTCGGTCCGCGGCTTGGCTCAAGCTTGTTGCCTATGAAGAGGATTGATCAGGAGACCCCCATTCCCTTGTAGCATGAGCTGGATGTACCAGTACGAATGGGTCTCCACTCCGCACGGAGACCAAGCTCTTTGGCAGCAAGCATGCTAATCTGTTCTGATAGCTGCCTTGTCATCAAAACTTTGTCCACATGGCGCCACGGTGACTCAGAACCGACCACATTTGTCAATACCATTGGAGTCGAAGTTCCTCCGAGATAGTGTTGTGTACTGCAGATATTCCAATAACTTTGGTACAAAGCCAGAAAGATGATTTCAGCAAGGCCTCCCAGCGGCTTTTGCGAAGCATCGAATGCATCAAGGCACTGCACATGCAGATGTCTCTTTTTTGCTGGAGTTTGCTGAAGTCCGAAGCTTCATTGGCAGGAGCAGGCCACGCAATGCGAGGAGCGGCTGCAAGAGATGACGTGCAAGCTGAAGCAGCAGAAGAGGGATCTGCAGATACTACGTGTGGCCGACGCTTGGGCAGAAACTGGCAATTCTTACGTTTGAATTGGCGCGTCATTGCATGCAGGAGGTCTCTCACCTTTCTGTGTTTCTGTGCGGCTCAGGCCAGCTCGAAGATAGCAGAGTGCAACGTGATGTCGGGGGAACTGCGCCGGGTTGGCCTGGACGATGCTTGGCAGAACCATCTTCGTGCCTTTTTTCAGTTGGGCTGATGGCCAATTTTCGAAAGCATCCTGCATGGAGGAATGGCAGCTGAGCGAGGACATTGAGCTTCTGCAGCAGGCGCTGCAGCGAGCAGAGTGGCTTGGGCGCAGAGGTGGTCATTGAGCAGTAGCTTGAATACGCCTAGGAAAGGGATCTAACGGTCTCTGTGTTTCTTGTTACGTTGCGTCTTGGGCCGTTCCTGAGCTTGTTTTAGCACCGATGCCTCCGATTTGCGATTCTGTCATGTCCATTCTTGTCCAGTCCAGGTCTTCCAACAAGCCGGCCTACCTTTCGCAAGAGTGCGAGCCTGTGCTGGTGGAACTGCTGCTGCCGTGAGCTTAGCCGTCGGCAGGTGAGCAGCTTTTACCGTAGTATTCCGAGACCCACAGAGTCGCTTGATCTATGATGGTATCTTGTTGTGGCTATGTGCATATGTCACAGCACTGCGGTACACAAGCCGCACAGAAATCACAATACATGATAATCTATATTCTCCCCAGAAGGGGTTCCATAGATACAGCAAATCCAAGAATCCGTGCCTCCCAGATTTTGTTGTGGAGGCCTGAGTGTCTTGCCCAGCTCCGGGACCGAGCGCAGCGCTGGGAGGAGAGGGCCCATTCCATGATGCTGCATGCGGGTGTCCCTGTAAATTGCTGAGATGGGCGCATATGAAAGACGAAGTTCCTAATCGTCAGGCGCTTGGTCATGGGATGTTCCCTACTGGGACTTAGCAACAGGACTCACAATCTTGAGAAAATCCCGGATGGGTGAAGGATCTCTTGCGTTTTCGTGAGCAAAGGGCGGAGATTTTGCGCGAGAAGGCCAGTAAACCAGCAGACATCTTTCCACACATCCTGCATCATCCTGCTACCGTTCGGAAAACCCCTGCGCCAAGACTTTGAGCTGCGGGAGGCCTCTGACACGGAGCTTCACAACGAAGAGCTCCGTGCTCAGGCCGTGCACCTGCGGCAAGAGGCTGTGACTTGTCTGATTCTCGACGATCGCCGTGAGCTCGCCGAAATAGAGCGTTTGGAAGTTGGATCTGTTGTCTGGTGTCCCCTGCATCAGAATCCTGTAGCAGCATGGTGGCGCTGTTTTCAGCAAACTGCAACTGCAACTACGTGGGTCCTGGATTTACAACGCAATATATGACTTTCGCGCTAATTGCAGCTTGGCAGTACCCACCCAAGAATGCCTACTTCCCTGTCCGCATCTCCGCTTCTGTGTCTCTCTCTACGTATCTGTTTGTGTCTCCGTCTGTGTCCCTGCTGACTGACACCCGTCCGTCTATCTGTTTGTCCGTCCGTCAGGGCGTCCGTGCGTCTGTCTATTCTGTCTGTCTCTCTCCCTCTGCCTGTCTGTATGTGGGTACCTCTTTCTCTCACACACAACAGGTCCAATGTCAGGCCGCGGCACTGGGCATGAGAAGATCTGTTGTCGCATGTCATCTTCGAAGCGCATTTCAAGCAGGAGTGATAGTTGACAGAATAGTATCCCGGAGTGTATCTCAAGTTGCTAGTATGTGGCGCTCAAAAGAGTCACTTGAAGAAAAGCGTATCCGCATCGGGATAGAGCATTCAGCGGGCATTCGTTTTAAGTTTTAACACTACATGCGATTCCTCTATTTTATGAGATATACAGAGTGATTCTTCACCAGCACCTTCCATCAGACCCCACCGCGCCTTGAAGAAGTTACGGCCAAGCACACTTCAGCCTTCTAAGCATTGCGGTCGCGGGGTACCCGGTCATCCCTGAACCTCGCCAGTCTCAAGCCCTTTTCTAACCTGAGGCTAAGCTGCGATGTGCCCGCCTCCGTGCAGCTGAGGCCCTGGCCCATGCTGAGGTCCCTCGGTCTTTCAGGATTTTTCAGCTCCTCCTTAAGGGATGGTGGGTCTAAAAGCTATCCCTCGTTGAGTGCGGCAAAACTCGTTGGATCTTGTTGACATGACGGTGTTACAAGATCACTATGGATGGCAGCCAAGCCACAAGCCCACAGCGACCAGGAAAACAGACTTGGTTGAGATTTGCCATGGGAATCCAGGCTTCATTCACTCCAAACTGTTTGCTGCCAGCTCGAAATCAAAACAAATCTAGCTTGAATTCTGTTATGCGAACCTCGAAGGGGACACATGGATCTTTGCAATTTGAGAAGCTCTGAGATTAGGCCAGCCATCAATGGGCAACCAGATGCAGGACGGCAAGTGTTGTGTTTGCCCACTTCAGTTCCTGCAACCTCGTGGCTCATGGATTTCATGATTATTTTGTGCTCAGGCCTTCAACCTGTTGCATTAATAAAGTCGCAAAAAAGACTGTGGGCAGCCTGGCTTGGGAGGTTCTGAGGCTGCTCGAGGCCCAGATCAAAGTTGCAAACAGGCTCTGTAGTTGCTTTTTTTTGGTTCAAGGATTTGCCCCAGCCCCTTTATGTCTTCAATGAGAGCTACGCGCGGCTGCAGGAGCTACGCGCTCTTTCTGCCAATCTTGTCTTCCTTTCTGACTTCACTCTGGTGGTGTTACGGGTGACACCCTGATTGGACATGGAGGGTGCATGATGCTGGCAGATCCGCACAGTTGCACAGCAAAGCTGTTGCCATGCTGTATCTGCATTCTTGGAGAGCATGTTTTGAAAAATAAGATCCTTTTCGCATGGGGTAGTCCTTCACTTGGGGCGGATCACATGAATTATGTTATGCGCAAAGGTGCTGTTGCTGCGTGTGCTGCAATACGTTGGCAACCCTAGATTTCAGTGCCAAGTGATTTAAAGCTGCAAACGTGCTGGCAATGCTAGTCGAAAAATTGTATTGGTCAAGTAAACGACCAGTTCGGTGCCTTCCTGGCACCAGATGAATTCGGTTTGCTGTGTCTGTTGGGGCCGCAGCCTGCTTCAAGGGAGTTGAAAGATTCCAAGGGGCTTGGCACCCTAAAGGATGCAGAAGATTGCAAAAGCTGCATAACAAATCCAGGAGGGGATCTCAGACTCGTCGGGCGTCAAAAGCGTGCGGAAGTTTGCCTGGCTATGGTTCTTGCCTGCTCTGCCTGCTGCATGAAAGCACAACTCTTTCCGGCTGCGTTCTCCAGCTGTGGGAGCAAAACGTGCTGCCCAGGCAGAAGCTTAGCTACGTGTCTGGCGACGCAGCTTCACAGGAGGGCCTTAATTCAAGATCAGGTTGCATGTGTGGATTCAGGTTGAAGATCTTCGGAAGCATCCTGGCAGGTTGACAGCATCCCTACCGCAGATGTGGTCATTGTTGACCCTCCGCGAAAGCACTGGCCTGAGAGCGGAGAGGTCACTGACCTAGTTCCATTCCACGGGTCATGCTGCATGCTGTCTACAGTTTCAATATGTTGCAACTACAGTGCCTGGCTGCTTGTTGTACCCAGGGGCATGGAGGATCCGGTCATCGAGGCCCTAACTCGAAGGCGCCCAGCTGAGCTTCTTGTCCTTGGCGATGTTGACCAGCAAACGTGGAATGTTGAGGCGAAAAAAGAAGGAGCCGAAGCCACGGCGGCTGATCTACGTGCGACCTACAACTGATTAGCTGCAACGGAAAGGTTGGCTTGGCTTGCACGCTATGTCAGCCTCAGGTCAGTTGTGGCTTTCCAGCTTTCTGCCGTGATGCCGAAAAGCTGATGGAGCATGGATGGTCAGCTGGAGTCTTAGAGGCATACATGTGGTTTTCTTCAGAGCATGTGGCATGTGCCTGATTTCTACAAAATGTTTGCTACCAATTGCGTGATCCTAGTTGGCCAAGTTCTGCAATTAGCACAGACGCCAGATCCCTCACCGGGACTTCAGAAGGCCCAGGGCCGCTAACTGCTAATCATTCGCAGCTTGAAAGGTACTTCATGCCGAGGGCTTCGTGCTTTTCCCGGGCGCGGACTGTGGGCTGCCGGCTTTGAAAGTGACAATTAGCTTGCTTGTTGCTGAAATTACTGGGTTTTGTCAAGGATTCTTGAACAAAGTCCTTGGGTGACAGAATTTCTTGATAGCAGACTCGAACCTAAGTCTATGTACAAGAAGCGCTGGGAAGGTCACTAGGAGCGGCTTTTTTTTTGGGGCGGCTGCAACTTTCTGGGTGTACAAGTTTTGTTTGCCTAGGAGCTGTTGTCGAGCATGCTCCTCCGTGCAGGACCATCTGGAAACCTTCTGCGTCTTCGAGCAAACCTGAGCAGTAGGGCAACCGGTTGACGACGAGGCAGTGTGCTCCAGCACCGCGCCGTTGAGGTTCTGCAGCATCCTGCGGCTTTTCTGTCTGTAGCTCCTGCTTGCAGATGAAGTGCGCTGTTCACGGGCTGTCGGGCGACGACTCCAGGCTCGATTGCTTGCCGGAGTATTTGCATATGCATGTCCGCGCGGCTCTGATGCACGAAGTCCTGGCACATCACCATTGGCGGGGATGTGCCTTACATCCTGCCATTGATGACCTCTCCCGTAAATACATCAAAATCCTCCTCTCTCAAGAGTCCAAACCTCCTGTACTGCAAGCAGTCACATCGGTTGACAGCAGCTACTTTTCAGACTTTCTTGTCTGTCTTGCTGGTGTCTCGCAAATTGTCAGTTTGGCAATTAGTAGACACACCTCGGCAGCCTCCGCATCTCAGACTTCCAGGCTTTTAGCATTTGAGTATCCTTAGCTTATGCGCATCCACATTTAACTCTGTTCAGCACTTGATTTAATCTTGATTTCCTCCTGCAATGTCTTGGGAAGTGGTGGGTGGTGGGGACAAAGGCGGCATCCTGGTCCGCAGTGGCCAAGGAACCAGCAGCGAGCAGCTCCCAGAGAGGCTCAGCACAGGTGCGCGGGTGGAGGAGCTGGAGCTCGTGGGTGAGCGACTTCACTACAAGCTCATTTCGGGGACCGGCCCTGCAACAGGCTGGGTGAGCACCTCCCTCAAAGATAAGCCCTTGCTGCAGCGCCTTGGGGAGACCAAAGATGCCAAGGAACCGTCCAAAGATGCCGGTGATCTTCGCGAAGGTGACTACTACGTGACATTGGGTGTTCTCTTCAAGAAGCTTGGCACGGACCCTGAGAAGGCATCCATCACTAAGCTCAAGCGCAGTGTGGGCTCTGTGGTGCACACCACGGGAAAGGTGTGGAGGGGGTCTGGCGGTGGGTACTGGGTTGAGTTGGATGTGGGCTCAGGTGACTCAGGTGCTGGAGAGAAAGCCGGTTATGTCATGATTGATGCCAGCGGATTTGGAACTCCAGGCCCTTGCTTGCAGATTGCCGCGAAAGCAGATGGCCCTCCAATCCTTCTGAAGTCGAAGCCCCGGTCTGAGGTCAAAGCCTGGGATGATGGCAGCGTTGAAAAGGATTTCTTGGTCCTGCAGAAGACCACGGTGGGCGAGGTGCGGGTGATCCTAGGCATGTTGTTCAAAATCGCCAAGCCGGAGAGCATCACCGTCTTTGGAAAGGATGGCAGCGAGCTGGCGCCAGAGACCAGTGTGAAGGAGGCCGGTTTCCAGAGCGGAGATCAATGCGCTTTCGAGCACGCAGAAGGCAAGCCCATGAAGCTCGTCGTCATGAGTCCACTGGAACAGGGCGTGAAGCTCACAGACCTTGACATCAAAAGCGACTGGACGGTAGGCTGGAAGATGTGCATAAATAGAGCAGATGAGCTGCAGCTAGTGTGCGCCAGTAGAAAGTAAGTCTACTAATCGTTTTGGCTCCTTGTTTTACCTATGAGCTCTGGAGGACAGGTGCGCAAGCTCCTTTGCAGCATCACCGGCTTGAAGGAGTCGAGCATGCTAATGGCTCGGGGGAAGATGGGCGAGCGGGTTGGTGAGGATGCTCAACTGAACTTGTCTCACCTCGTCGTCGATTGCGGCTACAAGGAAGGGGATGAGATAGGTTTCATCTACATGGGTGATACCGAGGGCGATCTAAAGGCTTTCCTTGCCAAGCGGTAGCTGGTTTCAGAGCCCACTGACTGAGCAGATTGCTAGCGGCTGCTAGCGCCTACTCCACAGTGATAGCACCTTTTTCAGATCTCCATCTGAAAGTTGACTGCGCCGTGGTGATCATAGGTGGTATGTTCTCGCAGCCATCTGGGCAAGAAGCTTCGGCGCCAGAGTATACTTTTGCGTCTAATCCCGAGCAGGGAAGCCAACGGTGCTTCTCTGCTTTGCAGCTCTCGTGAGACAAGCCAAGCGCTCCGAGAAATGACATTCTGAGCTGCCCCAACTGTGACAAGCACTCGCATATGATACCTGCGAAAAGGTCTTCGACGAGGACGATGCGTCAGTCAAGGCAGCACATGGCACCCCGCCTGCATTTTGTCGTTCTGTGATTTATCAAGTAGCGTTGTAAAGCTTCGATGCCAGGAGGCCCATGTCTTTGAAGGCTGTCCTACGCAAGATGCGAAGCTGAGCTCTGATCGCGCTCCGAGGGACCGCCTGATTGGAATCCAAAATATCAGAAGCGGGCGCAGCTTATAAGAAGGCAGTCATGACACGATTTCATTTTTGCAGGAGATGCATCGCCCATCCAAGTTGTTGTGCTTTTCATGCCAGTCGCCAGCCTTACAGGCTCCAAACATTGACAGTCCCCGCCATTCATGGCATGTGAGGTGCAGCATTTGGACGTTGCCTGTCTGGTATCTAAACTGTTCTCATCAGTGGATTTGGATGTAGAGGTAGTGCAGTCTCGTTATGCAGCTGCACAGCAACACTGCCTAAACTCACTCCCTAAGCTTCCTTTGCTGCGCAAGTGCATCCATGGTAAACGCACCGTGATGGCAGCAGGGAAGGCCTCTGGGGCAATTTTTTTTGCGTTTTGGTGTGGTATGCGGACATGCTAGATTCCGCTAGATGACTGGCTGGTTGAGGGGATATGATTGCCAGGACAAGCGGCCGTTCCTGAAGCTGACTTGGCTGGAAGGTGCCATCCTGTCCGGCTTGACTTGACCTCAGAGCAGGAGCAAGAACGTGCTCAGATGAGCTTTCTGGCCTTATAGGATTTCGTACTTCGCACAACAGAGAGCTGTTGTGCGGGAAGTGCAGCCAGTGGGATTGTCCAAGAGTTTCTGATGATTCTTCTTTCTGGGCTCTGCAGCGTCTGAGGATTCTTCTGTTGTGCCTCCCATGGACGGCCTTTCTCTACGCTGGGAAGGGCACCTCCATCTCCACGCAAAGTGCAAAGGCAGGTTTGCCCATCGTATCACATGGGGTCGGTCTATAGGCGGATATCGTGAAAATGGTGAGATGGTGGAGTTACGCACTTCCTAGGATGTTGATAGTTACGGCTTTCTCCACAGCAGCCATTGTGAGAAGGAGAGCTTTGATCAACTACCATCTGCTTGAAGTCAGGGCGCTGTTGCCCAGGTCCAAAGAAAGATTCCTGCAGGCCATGGGCTTGGAGTGTCACTGTGCGTGATCAGTTGGGTTGAGATAAGCTTGTTTGGAGTTGAGCTGATACGTACGTAGGCGTTGTCGTTGTCACCCATCCCTTTGACATGAGCTGAGCAATGAAGTAAACGCATGCAGCATGCGCATGCTGCTGCGGCTGCTGTTGCTGCTGCTGCAGCACCTTCCATTCTTGCTCCTTTTGAGCTGCTGAAAGGTACTGCGGCTGTTGGTGCGTGTTCTGCAGCACATGTGTCACCGCTAGTGAGTGCTTGTCATGGTAGCTCAGAGCTCCCTGTGTTTTCTGAGGACGCCCCCTTAAGCCACTTGGCACGACGAGGCACGCCCTCCAAGCTCGATCTATGATTTGGTGCGGTGCTATCGACAAGCGACAGAAGCGCAAGTCATAATGGGAGCTAGGACTACAGCTGTGGCTGTACGCAAAGTGGCACAGCAGCTCGCATAATCGTCAGTGGTGCTCAACATGGATAGAATTGCCGAAGTTCACAGCTATTCATTCCCTTAGCCTCTGTCCGTAAAAGTGTCGTGGTAGTTTTCCTAAGAAGGATTTGCTCAGGCTCCAGTCTCTTGAGGAAAACAGAACCTTGCTTGCCACCAGGCCGCGAAAAAACAGGAAGAGCAAGGCGCAGAGGCATTCAAAGAGAGAAGGGAGAGGGTGGTGTTCCGTCATGCAGACAAATATGGATAGATTTCTTTAAAAGAACTGCAGCAAAGAACTGCAGCACAAGTCCTTCAGGATCCAGATTGTATCTCTTAGGATCTCCCATGCCCATATAAGTGCCTAAGTCCTAGCTCTCTAAAGGCTCAAGGTTCCGCATCGGGATGGCCAGGAAGGCGCGTCGCGTGGCGAAGCAGAAGCCGGCAGGACGCCGAGGCTTGGACAGGCGAAAGTGTGCAGAGTCATCAAGGTAATAAAGTAGCAATCATAATAAGAATCATAATTTCATAATAGTGGTATTCGTAGATTCCAACTCTTTGGGCCCATGGTGTACATGGTCTTCAGGGTTGCAGGCTTGGCTGCAGCATTGCAGAGGTGTCTGTGCAGTACTTGATGCTGAACCATATTGTACGAATGCTCGAGATTTGTGCGTTGAAAGCTTCCTCCGCCACTTCAGGACATGATCTTTGAGAGAATGCCCTCGTGCGACTCCTTCGTCACGACGAGGCTGACAGCTCCGGAACAGTGGAGCACACCTGCATTTCAGATTTGAGACTTTTGTTCAGCAGACTTGACAGCTATATGAATCAGTCCCTCAGAGGATGAGATGAGTCCGTTCGAAACTCTTCCTCGTACGCTGGAGGCTGGGCGGGCCTCAGATGCCGAAAGTGTTGAAATCAGCTGCCAATGCCGCAAAATTGCATGGGGCTTGTTCAGTGCGTAGGTTGTTGCAGAGATCTTGCTGTCATGCGAGGTTGCAGATTTTAATATGCGTTGATGGTGGCCTGGTCGAGTTGGCTCAACCCACTATACAGTACAGTGGCTCCTTGAGTTTTGTGAAACTTCGCCCCGCGATGCTGTACACCTTCTTGAGCAATGTTGCTTCAGCGTCCTATGCCTTCGTGATCAGACATGTCAGTGATTCGTTCTGTTCACGAAGAGCAGCGATTGCCCGCCCTGCTGAGTCAAAAGGGCGGGATGCATCGATGAATCCACATTCAGAACAGATGATGCGAGATTTCAAGTTTGCAGGCGCCTTGAGCCTAGCCCATGTATGTGACTGCATTGATGCCTTGCAAGTTGAGCCTGTGCGCGTCCATTCTCTTGCCATGCCAATGACTTGAAATTCAGGTCATGATGGAGTACCAGAGCTTGAGGACAAATGCCGGCCTTGAAGCACGCAGACTTCCTTCACAAGTTCCCCAGTTCTTGCTGCTTGGTAACCAGTCATCTGGCAAAACTACAATCCTCCAGCGGATGACGAAGCTACCTTTGGGGGTCACAGGAACAGTGCAAGGCACCTGCAGACCCTTCCAGTTTACATTGATACATGATCCCAACCAAGAAGGGCATGTTATCCAAGTGGACGGTGAGGATGTGGCGAGAGAGAATCTGCTGGAGAAGCTCCGAGCAAAGAATTTTGAGTTTGGAGGCTTCAATGCACGACGTGTCAACGTCACCATTCGGTCCAAGCATGTGACATCTCTCATCGTCGTGGACATGCCTGGGCTGAGTGCCAGAAGTGATGCACCCAGAGAAATGGCCTTGGCAGAGCTGGAAGATCCCAGTGCCATACCCATTCTTGTCTTGCCCAGCAACGATCCTGGCTCAGCAGACCCAGCCCGTCAAGCGTTCGATGCACTTCTCGATGGACGTGAAACCCCGGCTGTGGCAATCGTGAACAAATTCGACGAGAAGATTTGGGAGGCTGCGTCAGAGTTGGGAAGCGGTGCCAAGTGGAACCAGTGGGTTGAGAGCTGGCACAGACAAACTCCAGAACAGATGAACAGGTACTCTGCGTGGTTTATGGTGGGAGTTCCACCTGGTGATCCCAAGGAGGACCTTGTCACTCGCCTGACGGAGTCGCACGCGAAAGAGGAGCTGCTGATTCAGCAGTGGAGGCAGAGATGTGGCCCTGAAGCCCTATGGCCAGAGCCCATCAAGTTTGGCCTCGCAAGCTTTGAGGAGTTTGTGCATAAGCAGCAGGCGGAGAGATTGTCGAGTTTTGTTGCCAATGTGAGGCCCTTGCTTTTGGACCTTCAAGACAAAGAGCGGGCCCTGATGCCTCGAAAGCACGAAGGCTATGGGCGGCTGCTCAAGCAACTTGCCTTTGTCGTGACTGAAGGGCAGACCATTTGGCAAGGACAGCTAGCTTCAGGACTTTTCTCACAACAAGTCAAGAAGACGCTGCAACAAGAGCTCGATTGGCTCAAATCCCAAAGCATGAGCGACAGGGCTTTTTCCATGATGCACATGTTAGAAACTGGAGATTGGCAGCAGGCAGTTGGGCCAAGGGATGCTCGCCAAGAGCCCCTGGACCCTTCCACATTTCCTCCTGGGGCCAGTGGCTCCTCTGACCGACAGATATCTGCGGCCAGGTTGCGCATGCAAACATTGCAGTTTTGGCTGGTCGATACAGTCTATACCTCAGAAACCCACCTGTTGGGCCTGACTGCATCGACTCGGTTCGCGGACTGCATCGAAAGATTTGCCTTCGTTTGTCTTTGGCTTCATACGACTGCAAACTACGACCTTGAGTTCTTCAGGAATTCTGCGAGCAACCAGCAACACCAAACGGCCAACAACGCCATCAGAGAATACAAGAAGGCAATGTGTGCCCGTGTGTTCCGGCCCCTGGCCGAATTGATGAAGCTCATGCTCCAGGAGCAGTTTGTCAGAAGTATGGATGCACCTTTTGACTCTGAGCAGAAGGATCAGAGACCGTGGTTTCAAGAAATGCAGAAGCATCACATGGACGTTGAGGAAATTCGCAAGACCTACCGGCAAGAAGTCGCAGCCTCAGCGCACTGAATCTGCACAGTCGCGTCATATGGTAGTTTCCCTAAGTAGGGGGACCCCGATCTAGACTCTAGACCCCAAAATACTATAACCCTTATTATGGCGACCCCCAAAAAGATACCCCAAATTTTGGGAAACCCCTATGTAGGTGGGTTGTTGAGGCCAAAAGTGACGATAGTCAGGGAGTACCGTGTAGCAGACGCACACAAGTCAGTGCTGTGCAGGTTAAAGATATTGCAGAAATGTGTGGCAAAGAATTTGACAGAATGATGGGCAGTGATATCCAGACCCTTGAGAGCGCGCTGGTCCACGCCTTCTCTGACGATGAGTCTGCCAATTTCGTTAGGAGAAATCAGGTCCTCGGTGAGTCTGCGAACTTCGTGCGGCGAGGTAGTGTGCAGTATCAGTATTCACCAGAAGCCCTGGGACGAAGGCAGGCGTACTTGACATGTTTCAAGTTGCTGTGCTTGAGCAGCGGACTAGTACACTTGCTGCACCTGCTTGGAAGGTTCCTGGCTACCTTCGTCAAACAGGTCAAGGAGACCAGCTCACAGCGTTTGGGATCTCTGGGACATGAAGCCGAGCAAGCCGTGACCTGCGGCGCCATCACTATGCCAGTAACAGCTAGTGCACATGAAGTGGCAGACTACTTCCGGGCTTGTGATGGTGTTGAGCCCTACGTCATCAGCGAGCAAGGCTACCGCTGCATCTCCGCAGCCCCGACTTGGAATCAGCTCTTCGCTGGCCCATCTCTTTCTCCCAGACCTGACTTCCGGCGGCTGCACTTGGTTTCCCCTCCAATCAGCTCACGCGAGTTCTGTGATGTTAAGATGGAAATCTTTGGCCACACCAACTACTTCTGGGGTCCCGTGTTGCCATCCAAAGTGAACCACCTCTTCGAGAGGAAGAAGCCTTACTGTGGTGTTTTGCTGCTGGAAGCAGAGAGTCGCAACATCATCCAAGCTCATGCGGCGACTCGGAATTGGACTGAAGTCAGCTTCAAAATCCCAGAAAGCCACACAGTTAAGTACTACCAGATCCACATTGTGGACTTTGAGCCTCGAGGCATTGCCTGCAGACGGCTGGTTTGCAAGCCACGTCACCGTGAATCTGTTGGTTATGCCGTGGATTTGTCCAGAGAACCTCGCTCTCCGCCTGCCCCAGCTTCTTCAGCTTCAGCCTTGGCTCCAATGCTGCCACGCGAGAGCGGTTGCGAAATTGTTCCGCAATCAACTCCGCAAACACCGGGTGCATTGGCTCAGATCATGCGCTCTGAAGTGGCCGTCAGTGTTGACAGCCACCCGCAGAATGACCATGAGGAGGCAATGTTTCATGAATTGCACTCAAGGATCACGTTGGAGATGGCATCGACCTTGAAGCAGTTTCACGCAGATCTCCATAAGAACATCAGCAAGTTTCGTGAGGACAGCTATGGTCGTGCTCCTTACTTCATAGATGGGCTCGGGCGCTCTCTTAAAGGCCTCCAAGAGGATCAAGAACAAGAGAACCGGTTGACCGTAGCTCAGATTTGTTACCGCCTGATGTTGATTGATCGGGCATTTTCCCTTGTTGAGACTGGCGCTGCGGCCTAAATGTTCACCAATTTTGTAGTTTGCGTCGCAACAACCCATACTTGTACAGAATCAGCGGCGACAGACACTCTCTTCCACCAGGGAAGCAATTTTGCCGAATCTTGCATTTTGTGCAGGAGTTGTTCATGACAGGACATGACCGCCTCTTCAGGCACAGAGAGTGAGTCGGTGCACAGCATGCTATGTTGTTCTCTTGAAGCACAGGGCGGAATCGATGCTCCTAGCACCTTGTGCTCTACTTGTCTTTCTAGCTTGAAGCGAAGAGCTGTCGGCAGCAATGCTTATGTCCTAATACATGAATGAGCTTGAACCTGCACGTAGGCCGTGACAAGCGATACGTGAGTTTCAATTCCCTTGAGAAACTTGTGAAGTTATCAGATAATAGATGGCGCAGAGAGTCTTTGCAAACGAGCGAGAGATGTGTATTGTGTGAACAAGATCCAAGCACATCTTGAACAAGACAAACTGAAACAAGACCCTCTGTTGGCAGGTGCTGTGTGGTGGGCGTCGGCCAAGGCAGCGGAGTCAGAACGAGACGATCGGCTTCCCCGGACAATGATGTGGAGATCACCCTAGCGGAAGCGCTTGCATGACTGCAGGAGTCAGCAAAATGTTGCAGGCGTGTTCTGTCTCGCATCAGTCCTACCAATTCCCGGCGTGTTGACATTTAGGCTAGCAGCTCTTGTTGCGCAGCTTGATGCTTGCCGACGCAGCAGGTTTGGAATAGTGCACAACGTTTTCTACGTGCAATGTGCATGGAGCATCATGGAGCAATCTCCAAGCCCCCACACAAGTGAGCATCATGCGTACTTTTTTTTCGGGGAAATCACCAGCCCACTTGGGCGTGAAGGCCCATGCTTCATGCAGCATGTACATAAGAGGCCACGGCTTGGTTCCGAGGAGTCAAGGACACAATCCCAATTACTTACACAAAACCTTTCTGATCATTTTGGATTCCTTGCACTGGCGCAGGACATGGAGACCTGCTGCTTTGGACGGCACGCAGTGCCTGGCATGACATTGGCGCTACTTAGCGTTTTGTAGCAGCAAAGCATCTGAGGTGTCAGGGCTGCGGAAGTAGTGATGAAGTGCGTTCTTCGGACAAGCCACCGATGACAGTACCATCGGTCGCGGCCTCATGCCAGCTCATGCAAAGTCTTCGTGAGGATGTGAGATGTCTCAGGTTGAAGGTTTTGCCCGCTGGAACTTTGAGCGCAAGGCTGAACTTGCGAAGGGTGTCTCCCAGAACATGTCTGTTCGACGCAGACCGCTGAGACTTTTTTCTATGTACACTGGCTGGGGCACGGCTGAGATGGTCGCCAATTCTGTTGGGAACGCCTTTAATTCGCTCCCTGGAATCTCCTGTGGCAACAGGATGCAGGCTCAGGGGGTGGACGCACAAAATCTTGCTTCAAGGCTTGTGAAAATTCAAGGCTCTTTATTTGCTGCTTTTCTCTTCTAGTGTTGCCCATGGAGGTCGAAGTTGCGTGGATGTGTGAGTCCAACCTTGACAAATGCCGATATTTGGCGGAAGCCTTCAAGGACGTGACCCATATTTTCATGGATGCCGATGAGGTGGCAACAGGCTGTGCTTGGGAGTTCCGCACTGGCCGCAGACTGTTGGTTCCGATGGACCCCTTTTCTTAAACTTGCTCTGCTTGATATGGGGATAACGGCAGGATGGTTACATAAGTAGGAAAGGGCTAATTGAGGATGGAAGAAAACCTGGAAGCTACTAGAATGAAGAATCAACTGGAAAATCAGTGGAAAATGGACTGGAAATCACTGCGCAGACGTAAAGAAGGGTTTGAATCCAGCACGCAGGATGTTGATGGTGGTTTCGTGGGCTACCCCTGCGTCGACCTCTCCAGCCTTAACACTGGCCCTGGAAAATTCAAAGATACCAGCACGGCGACTGGCAAGGGCTATGTCAATATGCTCAAAGAATCTTGTCTCATGTTGTGCAAGGCCAGTAATGGTGCGGTACAAGTTGTGCATGTATGCGTTGCAGGTCGTGGATATGTGCGAGAGGCTGGTCTTCCTTGGTGTGGAGAACAGTGGCAACATGTGGCACAAGCGGAGAGAGGACCACTTTGAACGGCCGATTGACGTGCAAGATGCAGCCTTCCGAGAGCGAGGCGAAGCGTGGGCGGGGTTTCAGCCTTAGCACTATGATGAGCAAGATGATCCTAGATGTAGGACAGAGGCAGTGTGTTCACGCCTTCACATGCGCGAGACTATCAGGCAGTCAGGGATCTCTGCCGTCAGAGCCCTTAGCTTTTAACAAGCTGTTTCGCCTGAGTGCTGGTTGAAAGGGAGCATGGTCAAGAAAAACAACCTTTGATCCGAATCCCCAAGCCCAGAGCACTGAATCGTCAACAAAAAAGGCCCAAACCCCCCAAATCCCTAAACCGTAGATCCAGCCTAGCATTGTTTTTGGGCCTGGAGGCTTCCTGGCTTCGTCGCACCGGGTCTCTGCTCATGAGTTTGGCCCGCCTCAGAGTCGGCACCGCTCCTGGAGCCTGCGCCTGGGACTTTCATAGGGGTTTAAAGGGTGGAAGCTACAATAATGGGTTATATAGGGGTTACATAGGGATAATGGAAAAGAAAATGGAAGCTACCATTATGGGTTATATGGGGGTGAAAAAGGGAGATATGTGGACTATGTGGGATATGGTCAATATATCCACGTTCCAATAACGACCGTAAAATGGATTACCTCGAAGTCCAGCCAAAACTGTTTACCTTACCCTTAATTTTTTTTCGGATCCTCCTTTTACACAAGAGAAGGTTGGAGGGGGCACCCCACTTTAAAGTGCTTCCGGACGTGGGTTCCCTAGTTTTACAGTAGCCTATAATTGTGCCAGCTTTGCGCCATGACCCCATGTCCTTGGATCCGATACAACATGATCAGTGTTGATGTTTTGTGTTGAACTGCTGTGCGCATTTTTAGGCATGTATGCGATGCAATGGCTCATCTCTTTTATCTTCTTCATCCTTCAACATGTTGTTGATACTGTATGCCTTTGTGGACAGGATACTCAGCAGATCTGGCAGTTTTCTATGTTAAAGCCTATGTTTCACCTCTCAAAGTCCTCCAAAACATGATCTTGGGATCCTCATGAGATTTCGTTTTTATGTGAAACCCTGGGTTCCCCCATTTTGCAGAGCCCTTCTGGTTAGGTTCCACCGACCGCTTTATGCGAGCTCCCAGGGCTTACCCGGAATTCAGAGGGGGATAAGCGAATATATTATGCACCGATTTTGTGGGCTTTTATTTCCTAATTCCCTCATTCCCTAGTAACCCCCAGTAAACAAGGGAGGGAGATCAGGGGTGTGTTTTGTCCTTACAACTACCCCAAAACTGTGGCTCAAGGAATTTGGCCAAGACCTGATTTGGCACTGCCACAAATAATCAGCCTACTCACCCCCTGACATTGATTGAACAAAGATTCCCCCCTTGTAGAGTTAGACAGTATTTGTGGGGTGAGGTAATTTCTTGGGATTTGGGGGTGATGTACAGAGGTTTCAGCTGTCGAGACCCAGATGTCGGGGTTGGGGGCTTAGACACTGTCAGGCAGAGGGGTGCGGGAGGGATGGAAAAAGGTTGCAGCATTATACAACTCTCACATTTTCCAGACGCGAAGGCAGAGTTCGAAAGACAATGTCTCGTTCCCTACCCTGGCCCAGGTATTTGCGGAAGACGGCGTCACTTGCCATGGACAGTTTGCTGGCTGAAGTGACCCTTTCGAACACTTTCTTATCTTTTCGATGCCAAGCCGTGCCTCTGGCAAGCGTGCTGGCCGAATGTCCCGGCGCACTCCAAAAGGCGAGGGCCCCTGCTGAGAAGGAAGCGGCGCCACGACAGAGAGGCGAGAAGTGGACCAAGCAGTTTGCCGACCTGGCCGCAAAACTGGGGCAGGCGCAGCAAGCAGGGTCCACTCTAAGGTCACTACTTTTGAATTTTATTCCGGTCAGTTGTGGAGCCATGACCCCTTTGGCAGGAGCAGCTGGACTTGAAAGTCCGAGAAGTTCAATCTATGAAGCTTCCGCTGACATCTCGAGAGATCCACGTGGTGGCCATTGCAGTTCACGAGCTCCAGCATCGTGGACTGGACCCATGGAAAGAACCCATAGTTATTCAAGTGGAAGCCTGGCAGCATTTTCGCAGCGAAAGTCCTCTCGACAGGGCCCCTGCCAGCGTGGTGATGTCAGGTGCTAATCACATGCGTACACGTCTAGAACCTTCGCCCGCCAAAGTAAGGATCAGAGCTTTGGGAGATCCTGGCATCGGTCAGACCACAAGATTGCCCCCTGCGTTATTCCGAAGGGCAAGTATATTGTGACAGGCCCTTCATGGAGGCTTCTGGACAAGCAGGCAAGGAATTTGCACAGAGAGACATCGGTCTGTTTCTGCTTTCCGTCTGTGCAGGAGAAATGTTTTCTGCAGGGTGTTGGGCCACGAGAGATCAGCACGTATCGCATGGAAGAGCTGCTTACTGAAATCCAGCTGTGTGACATGGCCGGGAATGCGTGGCCGGCTCAGAGCATTGTGCTTTCCAGTGTCATGCGGATTTCGAATCAACATGCTCAAGCGCTCGAGAAAGACGCCCAGAAGTCGTAACGTTCTACAGAACATCCGTCATCAGGAGGGGGCGCAATTTTAGACAGAGCTGATAACTAGTGGGACATTCCCAATTTCATGCAACCCTGCAGGCAGGGACAATCTGTATACTGTCGTCATGCTCCCCAGGTATCCTCAGGGCCCCAAAAGAACTAAGATCAGACATGATCAGGTTCACCGCGCAGATTTGCATGGCCGCGCTGCTCACGTTCTTGCTTTGCTGGGACTCGGGGGCGGCCCCGGATGCTGACGTGAAGCCTGCATGAGGGTTCCTGTGCACAAAGACTGCGCAGGCATCCTGGCGTGGCTACGTCGCTAGAACTCCAGCATAATTCATCTAGATGCTTCAAATTCGGAATTTGGAGCTTGCAGCATGTATGTTGCAGCTCGAAGCAACCGCAGAAGCTAAGAAACTAATGACTGATGCAGTGCTTCCTTGTCTCAAACCATTTTAAACCTCAAGGGGTGGAGTTGTTGCCTTGTTTTGTCTGGAGAAGCATGTGCAGACGTGCATCAGTGCGGTATGTTCTGCTTGGTGCCGAAAGAGCGGTATGTCGAAAGGCTTTCTGTACCACGCATCATGATGTCAAAGACGCTGGGCTGTTATGCTTGATTCGGCAAATCATAGATCAAGATGTGGTAGTTTCCCAAAATAGGGGTACAATATAGACCCCGAACTATTATAGTCCTGATCATGGGGACCCCAAAAAGGTACCCCTCATTTTGGGACCCCATTTGGCTTGCTTTCTTGTGGCAACTGGCTCCCCAGTGCGCCTTGCAGGCTGTAAGCGTCAACTGCACCAGCACACTTGCTTCTTGGAAGCCTTCCTGTAGAGCATTCTGTAGTTATCGCCTTCACTCGTTGAGCAGTTCACGTTTAAAGCTTGAGCGTCCCAATTGCAGCGCACTGTACTTGGCAAGCTCGTTGTTGCCTACTTGTCAGATAAGAGTTCTTAGATTCTGTCTCGCAATGGCTTCTGCTGTGGCTGTGACCTTCAATGTGGATTGTTCGTGCACAGAACATGGCCCAGAGCCCAGTTCTAGACCCTTGGGCCCACTGGCCGTAGCGGCAGACGTGTAAGTGGCTGATGGGCGTGCTGGCGGATTCGCCTATGCCTTTGCTGTTTTTCCATCGCATTTGGTTTATCAGTACATGGATGGTGTAGGTTCATCCCATCCACAACAGCTCAAGTGCAGGGCCGGAAACACAGAAATTCCAGGTGAGGAGGTCTTCCTTGTCGGCTCTCACAAGAAACTGGGAGCTTGGGACCCTGCAGAGGCTTGGGCAGTGGTGCCCTCTACAGTAACAGTTGCAGTCTCTGATAGGCTTTGTTCTGCCACAAAGTCTGCCTTGTCAACACCCCTGCCTCTATCTGCACCCACCACCGACACTACCACTACTGCCACATTGCAACAGCTGGTGCTGCTTCTGCCACTACAACACTACAACGCTCCTTCTCGACTTCAGCCGCTACTGCTACTTTAGCTGGAGCAACCGCAACAAACAAACGACCTTGAGTCCGGTTGCTGCCAGGCCCTTCCCTGCCTCACAGACGCCGCGACGTTTCCGCGCTGGAAGTCCAAACCTGCGAAGCTGCCAAACGGCAGCAGGACCTGCGATAATCATTAGCAACAGCGCTACGACAATTGCTATCGTAGCGGGACTGTTATCATGATTGTCAGTTTCTATGGCAACTTTTCGGAATCTGCCCACGTGTATGAGCCTCATCCTTGTTTTCAGGGAAGCTCGATGCCAAGAGGTCCTGCTTAATTCAAAGAGACCAACCAGCAACAATAGCAAAGCGAGGAGTAATATTGAAAAACCCACTTCTACATGTCAGGGAACCTGGTTTCAGTGTGATAAGAAGCTGTCAGCATCCTTGTGAGTGTGAGGATCGAGTTCAAGGTGGTGATCCGGGGCCCCCGTGGGAACCGATGGGAGCATGGCGAAAATCGACTCCTCCAGGCCCGGATGAGGATGATGATAAAGAGCCAGTCCCTGTTTAGACAAGTAGCGTCCCTGATAGGCTTCCTGGACATTATCTAGGTTTCGAGAAGTCACCTCAAACTATACTTAAGTTTCCAAGAATGGGAGGCGTCGGGTGAGATTTGTGGCAGTGTGTTTGGTTCATGCGTATGGGCTTTTCAGGTTCGTAGGTTGGGAAGGCTGGCGGTCGACGAGACCCAAGCCCTTACATCGGTCTTCAGTATTCTTGTCGCTGCTATGAGCACTCTGACTTTTTTGTTCGATGTTTAGGTTTTTGTTATTGTCGGCGTTTTTGCAGGTATTTGAATAGAAATCGTCATGGTAATGGAATGGTACACAGTAATATCGACAATAAGAGGAATAGCATTAGTAGTCGGAATGGGATTAACGGGAATGGAAGCGTGTGAATTGCCCTTCAGGTGGACCTTCCCGTGGATGCGGAGGCACGAAGCTAGCAGTTCTCAGCATGTCAGGTTCAGGGTTTGAGGATTCTGTGGGGCCTGAAATCCGCATTTTTCTTGGCATAGAAAAAGGAGCCTCATCTTGAGAAACATCCAGGGGAAGCACGTTACGATGCAAACCTATAATCGCGTATAGCTGCCATCAACTCATGTTAGCAACGCGGCAGCGCTCACAGTTGTACGACTACCATCAATGTTATCGATCTGCTGGTGGAGCGTTACTTTCCCAAGTTTCTTGGGTGCTGATTTCTCTGAGTGAGTCCCATGCATACAGTACGTGATGCTGCCAACTGCTTTGCACGGAAGTAGTTGGCATCCCAGCCTTTTTTGGGGTTTGTCAGGGGCCCATCGAAATAGTTAAATCGTGATCGTTGCCTCAGCTTTAGATTCCCAGACTGACATGCGCACATGTTCTCTGCCGTGATACCGTAAGTACTGTAGCAGCCACGACTAACCCTAAATCTTGATCCCTCTGATCAGAATTCTGCAGGCGAAGAAGATCGTGAGCCTCACTTGGGGGCAGACTGGCGTCAAGGCAAGAGAGCTGCACTGGAAGGGGGGGGGGTCCTGAAATCAAGCGTGCCCATTTGAGTTCCCCTATAGGATGGGCTCTATGTTCGTTTCTGCCATTTCGAAAAGTTAACGTTTTTCTCGGAAAGTGAAAGGTCGCTTCGCCTAGGCCTGGGATTTACAGTGCAGCCCTATCATCATCTGGAATACTGCCAATTTCGGGCCTCACACCTTAGTAAGCAGAGACACTCAACTCGCTTTTTTTTTTGTGTGCCTGTTCTTAATAGCTGCTTCTTAGAAGGGAAAAAATATACAGGGATTATATAGAGAAAATGAATACTCCCTCATTCCCTACTAAGAACCAGTAAGTCGTGAAGGATACTGAAACCCTAAACCCTAAACTTCTTCTGGAGGATGCTGAAGGGGAAGACATTGTTGGAGAGCTGCCCACTGCTGGAGATTTCGCCCAGGCCTCGGTCCTTGCTGCATGTTAGATATTATATTGTAACTGAATATGTTGTACTATAATATATTACGATATACCGTAACATACTAGGATAAATTATAACATACTATCACATGTACTATACTATACTATAGTAAGTGGGGCTTGTTGCTGGAGTGTTTCAAGCTTTGATCGGGACCGCTTGAGCCCACTGAGTTCCGACGCGTGAGCTCGCCGGGTGGTGAGGGTCCATTGTCAAGGCCTGGTCGCAGCGTGCTTTGGAAGTAGTGCTACCTAAGCCCCACTAGATTTTTCTCCAGTCCAAGGGTTTAGTGGGTATGGAATAGGTATATAACGACCCCCTAAGATTAAAGGCCCATACTAGGGGCCCGTAGTTCCAACCTTAGATTCAGATATTGAAAAGCTTATGTAGGGAAACTTGCTTGGACTCAAGGCAAGCAAGATGTATCGCAGCATATTTCACTGCACCGCCGCTCAGGATCCCTCCGACTACCATGCAAAAGCGTGGAAGCCGGCACCTGTGCCGCAGCAGTGATGGGCAAGTCAACCAGGAAATGACAAGGACATCATGTAACAATGATGCCAAAAGTAAGGCTTGTCTAGCGGCCTGCTGCAGCTGCTCTTGTAGTGTGCTGCAAGAATGCGGTCTATCAGATTGATGCAGCAGTTTGAGCACTCCTGCTTGGAGGCTGCGTTCTGCCTATAGGGCTTTCCAGAGTGCTGTTCCAACGTACTCTGTCGAGTGTCAGGAAGCTCATGTGCTGCTACGCTGGCCTTGCAGGACGCCAAGCTTGCTCTTAATCAACTTCGCAAAGTTCAACGAGGAGGCAGCGCTCCACGAGAAGGACCTTGAAGAAGCCTTCTCAAGGCAGCATGATTGCAGCAGCTAGATGTCCACGCGTCTTTTGAAGGAGCTCGATGCCATCGAAGAGCGCTCGCAGTTGAACAGGTGGTGCTTGTTCTTGGAAGAGCGTCCGGTTTGGTTGCAGATGATTCGTTGAGTCTCTTCTGGACATGAGCAGGCTTCAGCGGAAGATGAAGAGCACCCACTTGATTGAAGCTTGCATGAAAGATGCATTGTTGTGCAGTTTGAGTTTGCGCTTAGGAGCTACATGTGGTGCTGTTTGTTCGCTTTGCAGCAGCTGCATTAAAGTGAATTCAGGAGCGGATGGCCAAAATCACAGAAGCCTGAATGGATTGGGAGCCGGCAACGTCTGACTCGCACGAGCAAGGGTGCTAAGATGTGCAGGAGGGGAGCCTACAATGCCCATGCCAAGGACACGGTCGATGCCTCAAGAACGGTCCTTCTCCAAGGTGGTCATTGCACAGACTTGAGAATTGAAGAGGAAACCCAGCTTGCGCAAGCCTGTCAGGGTGTTCCTGCCCATTGGCAGGTTTCAACTGGGAGAGTTGGCGCTCTGGGGGCGGCGACTGGTACAGCGTTCCCTCGCGAATTTTCAGAAAAGCTTGGAGTAGCAGTGCCTTTATCATCAGGATGGTGATGTTATGAAAGCCACTGTGAGCTGAGCAAACTGTGTGGCAAAGCTTGGCCAATTCCGGGCACTCCGAAGATTTGCCTGTTCGGAAGCACAGCTGAGGTTATTGGCAAAAGAGTTCAGATGCTGCATGAGATGGGCTTCACAGACCTCTGGTTGCCTCCATGCTCACAGTCTGTGGCACCACAGGCAGTTCTTTTCCTGTTGTATCTCCCTTTCTGCTGTCAGAGCTGATCAGGGCTATTTGCCCTCACAGCTCTTCAACTTGGACGGATCAAAGTACGGCTCGCAAGCGGCACTGGAAGCCTTGCTGGAGAAGTGCCACAAATGCGGCATTCGATGCATGGCTGACATCGTCATCAATCACAGGCCCCTCGGCGAATTTAGCCACTCGCAATCGTAAGCGCGAACACTCTACCTGTTCGGCTTTCATAGCGCGACTCATGTGGAGGTGTGGTGACAAGCAAGACAGCAAGGGGCGGTGGAACCAATTCTCCAGCGGCATGAACTCCAGGCAGGTGCTTGTGTTGGTCAAACACACTGCAGCATACTGCCATCAAGCTTCGCAACTGTTAGCTCTCCGGGCGGTGTTCGTTGTTTCAGAATGTATGACCAAACCTGCCTAGTGCTGGGATCATCACTGGATTGCACCCAAATGCTTCAAAACTGAAGAGTCCAAGTCATAGGGCTCCAACAGTCTCAGAATATCAGGATTCGTTTAAGGAGGATACCTCTGATAGTTGCGGTTCTGCCGATGAACCAATGAGCACCACCACCAGCAGCGGCAGCAGC